AGAACACCATTAACACGGGGAGCTGGTCAGTCTCATCTTTAAACTAGGCGCAATGCGGTTCCAGCAGGCTCCAGAGGGGGAAACCAGCGGGGTTTGAACCCTGGCTTTCCGGTTATGAGTGGGGGGACACTGTCCAGGTCCCCTACACTCTCTGAGCTTCACTTTCTCTAGCTGCAAAATGATTAGTAATTCAAAATAACTAGTAATTCTCTGAGGAATCAGTGCAATAACGCAATCAGTCAATAAACGCTGAGCACGGTGCCTGGCAGGTGGAAGCGGTCAGCAAATGAGGGCTAGTCTTTACTAGCCATTAACCTTATTCGTAGTGAGTCCTATGAGCTGTTCAGTCTCAGGGACGGCAAAAGACCGCGCTCTGTCAGTAGCAAGGGCGCAAACTGTGTCCTTAGATACAGCAGCTCCACCACCTTATAGGGGCTGTGGGAATACCACTCCGCCTCTCTGAGCCCAGCTTCGTGACTGTAAAAGCAGTATGTGCAGTGGCTGCCTCGCAGGCTGTCATAGGGATCAGGGGCCGCTGTGTGAGTGCAAGTGCCTGGCACGTAGGAAGGGCCCAGAGGTGGTGGCTGGGGCAGCCACCTGCACAGCAATGGCACCACCACAACGCACTAGCCCGCAGAAACAACTCATTCCCTCCGCCTTGTCTGCACCTCGTTCATCTATTTCTCATCGGCTCGTTCTCGGCTACACAGAGGGGTAGCAGACATCGAATAGGAGAAAAAAGGAAACATAAAACAGAGGGAATTCTATCCATGCACAGTTTTCCAGCTTTGGAAAAGACAAAGCCACACTTTGACGGTTGTACTACTGCTTGAATCCGCAATGAGCCTCCCTGAAGCTCACAGTCTTCCTCTGCTGGCTCCCAGTTTTGCTAGAAACGTCCTGAGACCTAGTATGCCTGCACCCCTGGCCTCCGGCAGCCACGGGAGCAAGCCTTTTGCTGCTGTCTCTCCTCACCAGCTGCTCTGTGAGGACAATTGAAGGACAAGAGCTTGGCCACGTTCCTGCCCCTACTCCGTTCGTTCCTGTAACTTCGCCTTTTCCCCTGCCTGGGAGCAGGCCTTGTCATACTGTGTGCAGTTTCCTGTCCCTGCTTCTGGGGAACTCCTCAAACCCGGGCCACTTCATCGCCATGTGGGGGGTCAGCCCAGTGAGGCTCTGGAGCCAGACTCGTTTGTAGTGGGAAGAATTTTGAATCCCAGCATTCGAGAGACCAAAGAGAATCTTTATGTTTCTTTTGTTGTTGTCGTTGCTTTTTGTTTGGTTTGGTTTGGTTTCATCGTCATCACTAATAATATTTATTGGAAACTGAAGAGGAGCAAGGCCCTGGCCTAGGCACCATATAGTACTGGATTCCACAAGGCTCCTTATAGCTGAACCAGAATGGCTCCAGGTCAGGTAAACATAAAGCATTCAAGAAACAACTAGGGGCGGGCCCATGGCCAAGCAGTTCGGTTCGCTGGCTCAGATCCTGGGCGCAGACCTACACACTGCTCATCAGGCCATGCTGTGGCAGCATCCCACATAGAGGAACTGGAATGACGTACAACTGGGATATATAACTATGTACTGGGGCTTTGGGGAGAAACAAAAGGAAGATTGGCAACAGATGTTAGCTCAGGGCCCATCTTCCTCACCAAAAAGCATACTTAAAAAAAAAGAACTAAGATTTCTCGTTTTTAATCTTGAAAGCTATTTTTTTCTCCCAGTGTTTCAAATCTGGATTTGAGCTGAGCAATAGAATAAATGCAGTTAAAATTATGCCAGAAAGATGGTAACAAGGCACAGTTGGAGGGGAAAAAATAGGTTGGACAAGGAGAGGCATTTTATAGCCATCTCCTTGACCATTTCCTGAGTCCAAGCTGCCTCCGTGTCTTGCTTGGATGAAGGTGACAGCCTCCTAACCCGAAGCCTTCTTGTCTCTATTCTTGCCCCTCCATTCTATACACAGCAGCAAGGTTGAATCTTGAAAAACATAAATCCCATTTCTTCCCTGCCCAAAGCTCTGTGAGTTTACACTTAGACCCCGCCCCAAATCCCGTTCTTGTGTCGTTCTCCTGTGCTCTCCCAGTGATCCTGCCACGTGTGCTTTGGCCATCCCTTTTGATTGGAAAGCCTTGACCTGATTGCCTTGACCATCTCATGGGACCTCCTTCTTGTCATTCAGACCTCACCTTAGTGTGACATCTCAAAGAGGCCTTTCCTGACTACCCTCTGCCATGCTTGCTCAGTTCTTCATCACACGGCGCTTAGTTGACATCGCTCATTGTCTGTCTCTCACTGGAGAATTTGAGCCCCAGGAGGGCAGCATCCTTGTCTGTCCTGTCCCCCAGTTATCGCCAACTCTTAGAACAATGCCTGCCACATGGCGGGTGACTGATAAATATTGGTTTAATGATCATCAAAGTGATCCCACTATATTTTCCCCTTTTCTTAAACATACAGTGATTCTCCACCTGGTTTTGTGACGCTTCATGGTGGCTTTAAGCTTGTAAGTGGAAAAGGGAGCCAGGAGTGGACTCGCGTCCTTGAGAAAACTTGGATAAGTGCCTTGGTGTTTCTGAACTTCAGTTCCACTTAAGCCCTACTTCCTTTGTGGGCTGTGAGGATTAGCTAATAAATGTAAAAGCCCTTATGAACTGCAAAGCAATGTGTAGACCACGAGAGTGGAATGCTCCCTCATTTTAAAGGTGAAGAAGAGGAAGCCCAGAAAAATTAAGTGATAGTGAGTAAACAGATTTGCCTACTGCCCCAAGCTACAAAGCACAAATATTAAATGATATTTAAATGCATTGATTTTAAGCAGATTAAATACCAAAACAACACTTTCAGGAGAGGGAAGAGGTGTTGAACAACTTGGAAGTTTTTTTAATGGATTTTTTTCCTTTTTCACAAATTTTTTTCAGATTTCTCAAATTGCTTGGCCTTGAGGATTTTAAATGAAGTCACAGCACCGTTGTCTGTTTTTCACTCCCTCCCTACAGTCCACACTACATGAACTGCCTTCAAACATGCAATAGTATTGCGTATAACTTGCTGTCCTATTTTTTTTTTTGACCTGGGATAGAATTCTGAATAGAATTTCTGAAATTCTATTTAAATCATCAATTACCTCAACTTTTATCTTATTTTGCTTTATTTTTTTTGGTCTATGGCGCTAACCGTTAAGTGATACTGCCTCTCTTCTGGAGCAAGGTCTACAATCTATGGTAGTATCCTTTATGTTCGAGATTGTAAATTGTCCTCCGTTGTCCATTCTTACCAGTGCTATTTTGTTGTTTTCGTCACATGCAGCCAGATTGACTCCTACTTGTTTTTTAAACTGAGATATAATCGACAGATAACATTGTATTAGTTTTAGGTGTACAGCATGAAGATTTGATGTACGTGTATATTGTGAAATGATGACCACAATAAGTCTAGGTAACATCCATCACCACACATACTTACAATTTGTGTGTGTGTGTTGAAGACTTTTAAGATCTACTCTTTTAGCAAGTTTCAAATACACAATACGGTATTGTTAACTATAGTCACCATGCTGTACGTTACAGCCCCAGGATTTATTTATCTTATAACTAGAAATTTGGACCTTTTGACCACCTACACCCATTTCACTCACCCCCTCACCCCCTACCTCTGGCAACCACCAATCTGTTCTCTGTATCTATGAGTTTCTTTGTTTTTGTTTTAGATTCCACATATAAGTGAGATCACATTGTTTTTGACTTTCCCTGTCTGACTTATTTCATTGAGCATAATGCCCTTAAGGTCCAACTATGTTTTCGCAAATGGCAGGATGCTCTCCTTTTTTACAGCTGAATAATATTCCGTTGTTTACACCACATCTTCTTTATCTCTTCATCTGTTGACAGACACTTAGCTTGTTTCTATATCTTAGCTATTGTAAATAATGCTGCAACATCTCCTATTTTTTTTTACCTAGGAAAGAATTTCCTGAAATTTTATTCAAATAATCAATTACCTCAATTATTTTAAACTTCAAAAATGACTACAGAGTTATGTTATAATGTAATGGAAATGTCTTGACTCTTTCAGGCATTTGGGGCTTTTCATAGAGACAGCACAGCAGTTCCAGCACTATAAGCTCTGGAGTTGGGTGTCCCAGGTTGGAATTCCAACTGGCACTTATTAATAGTGACTCTGATCAATTACTCAACTATGTGGAGCTCTGTTCCCCCGTTTGAAATACAAGGCTGATGGAAACCTGTCTCACAAGGTTACTGGGAGGATCCAATAAAAATTATGTACGTGCAGTGCTTCACACACAGTAAATGTTCAATAACTATTCTTTTCTGCAGAATTTTGCCTCTTCTTAGAAGCTTAGATCAATAAGATGTTTAGTGTTTTCTCTGGTACATTCTATGTTTATAACTCAATAGTTTAAATCTCTGACTTATTGGAAGCCTGAAAAAGGGCATAACTAGCTTTTACTGCATAATGATGTTAAAACATACTTAAAAGTTTTGAAGGACACTGTCTCATATATGTGAAAAATCAATTTTACCATGAAATCTGAATTAATGAAGTTGAAAACCTGAAAAAAGGACTATCCCCAGCTACCACTGATTTGTCTAACTTGCCATTATATCCCATTTGAGTCAGAATAATCTTCATTTCAAAATATCATTTTCATTGTATAAAAATGTAAAAAATCCAGCAAGACCAGAAATACGGATACATTTTCCTGGGCTGTCACATTTGTTGATTTTTATTCACAATCTCTTTTTCAACATGATTTACAACCTCACCCCCATTTCCAGTCTCATTATACAAGTGCTAAGTAGCAGAAAGGTCTAGAATAAATACATCAGAAGAAAAGGTAAAGCTGTGAAACTAAATGACATTCAACTGGTTTATGAAGGTGGCGGTAGGTGGCTGGGAAGTAAAATACAGTAAGACACACTAATTGGAAGGTTTTAGCTAAAGTTCTTTCAATGATCTTTGTCTTTTGCTCCATGTTTAAGGATGCGCGTGAACTCAATGTAATTGTAATTTCCCCTTTTGTCAATGGTCTCTGTACAGCTCATCTACTTCCTCATCTATAAATTGATCTCTTGTTGTTGTCAACCGCTTTCTCAGGTAATCTTCCTGAATGGTGCCTGTTGCTTCTTCATCAAAGCAAGCAAAAGCATTTCTTTTTAAGAAAAGAACAAAGGAAAACAATTTCTTCTTGTGCTGCAAACTCTTAAGATCTACTCTCTTAACAACTTTCCTACATTTCATACAGCAGTATTAGCTACAGTCATCATGTTGTACATTACATCCCTAGTATTATTTATCTTATAACTGAAAGCTTGTACCTTTTGGCCACCTTGCAAAAGCATTTCTGATGACATCTTCTGAGTCTGCGCCATTTAACTTCTCACCAAACATCGTGAGGAGCACTGTGAAATTTATGGGTCCTGAGGCTTCATTGATCATGGCATTGAGGCATGCATCAGTTGGATGCTTCCCTAGAGAAAAAAGCATATCATGTAAATTTTTTTTGTTGATGAAACCATCTTTGTTCTGATCAATCGTGTCGAAGGCCTCCTTGAATTCCTGAATCTGTGGCTGGTCCAACATGGCGAGCATGTTGGATGTTGCGTGTTGAGGGCACTTCTTGGTGGTCTTAGTCTTTGCCTTTTTGCTCGACATGGTGGCTATTTAATTCTGGGAATCTGTCCTTCAGAAGTTGCAGTCCATCTTGTCCAAACTCAGTCTCATTAAAGCACAAATGAGTATCGAGTCAACCATCATGGGAGTTGTATCATTCAACAGAGCCCCATGCCACACACTAGAACCAGGGCTGCCCTGTGCCCTAGTTTTTTAAGCTCCTATCACTTGGATATGAAACAAGATGGACAAAATGGTGGTACTTGTTGAAGCTGGGTAGTGGGTACATTCGAGTTCGTTATACTTTTCTTTCAAATTTGGTGTATGTTTGAAAATTTCCATAAGAAAAATAGGTTAAAACATCCCCTTCCCAAAAGGGCTGTGATCCAATGGTTTTCAACCTCTTCTAAAAAATAAACAAAAGGACTCCCTTTATTTTTCAAATAAAATCTTAGGTGGAACTCTAATATGTAAAGCAAGTCAAAGGCAAGCTGCTCTGGCTGAAGCTGGGGAGGGGATGCTGACTAGAGTCCTGCCTGCTTGTCTCCCATCTACACCAGCAGAGGGAGCCCTTGAGCTATTTCTGTAGTCCTCTATGCTTGCTTGCTACTCAAAGTGTGGTCCAGGGAGCAGGGGCATTAGCATCACCTGGAAGCTTGTGACTCTGAGGCCCCCACCCCAGACCTACTGAATCAGGATTTGCATTTTAACAAGATCCCTGGTGATTCAAGCGCACGTTGTGGTTTGAGAAGCGAAGCTCTGCAGTAGCTTGAGGCTTCCAAGGTTGACATAAATGAATTTCTTTATTGTACAAATGAACTAAGGAAGGCTCACAATGATGCGCATAAAGCCATACAACCAGCAGGTGGGAGAGCCAAGGTTAGCAGACAGGTTGCCTGACTTTCAGCCCAGGCGTTTCTGCACCATTTTGTCAATTGCACCCTGTGTCAAATCCCTCTCTGGTCCAGAGGCCAGGCTGATGCTTTGCTTCTGGGCCCAAGCCCCAGCCTTATGCCTGGTGCCTGTCACAGGGCCAGTGTCTCATGTCCCTTCATCTAAATCCATGACTTGCTTCCTTACCTAACACCAAGTTCCTTCAGAACTGAGGTTAAACCTTGTCCCTACTACTCTCCACTCCCAACACATTCCTCATCCCAGTCCTTACTAGAAATATCTTTGGTGAGTCTGGCAGCCTAATGGGAAAAGGTCTGGGAGAGTAGGCATTTGGCAGTGTGAAGTCCCCAGGCTGGATTCCAGTTTCCAGTGAGGACTGGGATGAGCACCGTGGGGCCTGCTGTCGCCTTCTCCTGCTCCTTGGTTAGAGTACTCTTGGAACATGTGATTATCAACTGCTTTTGCTTCTGCCGAAGCTGTCAGGCAGGGCAGCTGCCACTGACAACAAACATTTCAGCCCCCTTCCTTCCAAAGACCATTTTAAAATATAATGGATACACCAGAATATTCTTAAATAAAAAGCCTTATTTTCTTGATTCCTGATCCCAGAACCACTCCCACTGAGGCTAGGAATGCTTGATGCAGCCCTTATATTGGGCAACACTGGCTTGGGTAAAACAAAGAGCAGGGGTTCATGGTGGCTGTGGCGTGTCCTGCCCCAGGCCTGCAGGAATGGATCCCTCTGTAAAGTCCTGGCACCCTGTTGCCAGCAGCAGGCTGCCACTGTATACTTAATGGAACTCTCCATACGCATCTGAAATGCAGCAGCCTACCAGCAGATGGAGGCGAGGAGGGAAGAAAACAAATATTACAAGATCTAAACATCTGAGTCCTCTGCCTCAGGACTCTCAGAACTCACTCAAGTAGGAGAGCCTTGTGGGGAGCCTTCTATCTAGTACCAAAGTGTATTTTTCTCAGCACGAATGGGACGTGTATATGTATCAGGGGAGGAACACCTTACATTTTGAAATGACGCTTTTTTGGACATGATTTGCTGGAGATGAATGATTATGTTAAAGAACTGCTGTGAGCATTTCCAAAGCTCAAGTCCATGCGCCTGTCCAATCGTGCAAGTAAGAAAGAAGCTGGCAAAATTTGAACGTTCATGGGGTTCTTTCTATACCTTTCCTGGCCAGAATGAGGCTGTCTCATATACGGTATCCATGAAGGCAAGCCACGCAACTCTGCTGGGGAAGAGGGCAGTGGTCCTTATGCTTGTGAGATGAACTGGGGTGGTATTACTAGGCACCTATGGCTGCTGATCAGCAGAAGCAGCCTTCATGTACCAGTGAGGTTTTAAGAATTTGAGATAAATCCCAAGCTATCTCAGGCGCTCCTGCTGGATTTCAGCACACAAAGCAGAGCTTGACTAGGGCCGTGGACTGCTTAGAGTTATCCCTTGATGTCTGTGTTCGGTTATTAGATTAACGTGGAAGTGGCTGCTGAAATCTCTACAGCTCCTGGGTGAAGCTGAGGAATAACAATCCTCTAACAAGAGGCATTTCTCCAGGTCTCTGTAAATTACGCGCATCTACTAGTATTCTGGAGGGGATAATAAGTGCTACTCGGAAAAAAAATTCTTTCCTCACCACCTCGCCACTTCCCAGCGGCGGCTACCAAGAATGCAAGACTTCTGGTTTCCATGGATCCTAGAAGATGTTTGTGAAAACTAACTCCATTATTTCACATCTCCTTAAATGTCCTGGATTAAGGGTGTCTGTTCTGAACTGGGGCCTTGGCAGGGAAAGGGACAGGTCAAGGATAAGAAGGACAAGGGTCGAGAGTCTGGGAACAGGTTAGCTGGGTCCTCTGCTCTAGGCCTGAACCAGACTGCAAATTTCATCTGGGGCTCAGGGTCCTCTTCCAAGCTCACTGGTTGTTAACAGAATTCCTTTCCTGTGGTTTTTGGAATTTCTTGCTGGCTATAACTTGGGGC